ACAGACTTCAGCAGGAACGGCCTGTTAGAGCCAAGTCCGTGGCTTTAATGAGCAGAGACTGATTTCCCCACGGTTTAGGCAGCTACAGTGCTGAGTTCAGGGCACTGGCGGGGGTGGGGGTGGGGGGGAAGGTGTCTGTCCAAACTGTTCCCAGCTTCCTCTTCCTCACCCCTCAGCCCCTCCACGCGGCACCCAGCTTGCCCTCGGTTCCTGTTTCCTCACACGGGTGCCTAAGGCGTGCCTTCCTTATCTCAAATGTGGTCGATGGGAGGCTTGCCCTGCTCCGTCCTGGCTTCCTATAACAACGGCTACCAGACTAGTGTGCCCGCTGGGATGGCACCCAAAGGTATTGGGATTAGGATTTCTAGGGAGGCCCACATTTCACTACCTCAGTCTCTTCATTCTAGATGGGATGTGAGCCAGCCCCGTGCAGACCCAGAGGCCCATGGAAGTGGGGTTTCCCAAACAAAAGAGCAGCCAGCAGTGGATTCTGCTTCCCCAGCAGGACCCATCCAGCGGCCCATTCAACCCCCAGCTCTATTGTTCCCTTGCATCCCGCTGGGTGGATTTTTCTGCTCGCAGACATTTCATTCCTTCATTCAAATCCTATTTGCTGAAGGTCCATCACACGCCAGCAACTGCCAGCAGAGGGGAAAGCAGACCGCTGCTTTTAGAGGCTGAACGCAGCTCAAATAGTTCAGAGGCGTGTGGGTAGGGTCTTGGAATGCCGGTCAGAGACTGTCCCTCAGAGAACCACCTTGACCATCACTGTGATAGAGTGGACCTGAGTTTGTGGACAGAGGGCAGCTGTGGCTCAGTGATAGAAGCTTCCCCTTCCTTGCTGGAGACCTGAGTTCGATTCTCGGCCAATGGATCTCATGCCCAGCCACTGCCTGGCTGTCCCTGGGGGGCTGGGGGCTGTTGCCATGCGGAACAGGTTTCAGAGGGTTTTCCAGACTTGGAAGAAGGGCCGGACACCATGGTCCTCCCCGCGCTGTGTACAACAGCAAGAAGATGGGAGCAACTTCTCAGGCGAGGAATGGACAGGGAGACTCAGCGCATACACACAGCGGGATACGGTGCATCACTAAGAAACACCGACGAAACTACAGAGTCCCGCATGACAAGGATGGACCTGGAGAGCAGTACGCCGAGCTAAACATGCCAATCACAGAAGGCCAAATGTGACATCAGACCCTGTTGTGTGTGTGTGTGTGTGTGTGTGTGTAATTAAAGGCTTCCACACCAAAGGGAACAGGTTTGGAAATTTGTGAAAAGGGGGAGGGCAAGGGAAGGAGGATGGAGCAGTGGGCCGACGGGTGTTGACTTGGGTGAAGTGGAAGACGGGGACCCCTAGGAGGGGGAAGGGAAATCAAGGAGCGGGGTTGGGGCGGGGGTGAGCTGATGGAGAGTTTGATCAGTAGCTCAGTTTAGTTAATTCCTTAGGTGCCTCGAGTTGGTGCTGACTCCTGGTGATCTTGTGGACTCTAGAAAGGATGGCTGCCCTGTCCTGCTCTCTCCGCACAAGTTGGTATGTGTGAGCCCATTGTGGAAGCCCCTGTGCCCATCCACCTTCCTCTTTTCTCTGTCCCTCTACTTCACCAAGCGGGATTACTGGTTTAGACAGTGGAAGACAAAGTTAAATGTGAGTGCCATGTAAATTACGATGAGAGAGAGAGAAGAAGAAGAAGAGAAAGACCTAGTGATCTATTTCCAAAAGCCAGCCAGTGAGCTCTCAACTCTCTGTCTCATCGTGCAGGGGGTCACTCTGACTTGAAGGGCAACTAGACGGCAGTAAACAACGACAACAACAGCTCAAGGCAGTGGGGCAGGCTTGAGGCAGGCCTGCCCTGGGAAAGCCAGTTTACTGAGAAACTAGCCAGAGAGGATTTTGCTTTCTCTGACACCAAGGCTGAGCTGGCTGAGGATGGGAGGTGAAGGGATGTGAGGGGTGGGGTCCATTTCTCACCTCAGCCAGGGTTGAGACTAGGCGCCTGCCTGTATACTTTCCTAGTTGTCCAATTGGGAAAGGGGCCCATTTGTGTCACTCCCCAGACTTCAGCTCACATCACTACGCCCTCCCCAGGTGGGTCTCACAGGACTCAGGTGGGAATCCTGGACCGGTCCTGCTGAGGAGGCAGAATTCATCGCTGGCTGCTCTTATGTTTGCCAGGGAACCCCCACGTTCATGGGCTTCTGAGTATGCAAAGGTCTGGCTCTGATCTCTTCTCGGATGAAGAGACTGGGACAGTGGAATGTGGACCTGCCCTCCTGTCCCCTGGGGGTGCTGGTCAATGCTTTATGTGTAAACCAGAGCAAGTGTGTCTTGTGGCATGGCAGGGTGAGGGGTCCATGCTTTCCCTTGGCACTGGGTCCAGGAGAGAGCTTCCCATCTTGACAGCAGGTAGAGCGGGCCTGGCCAAAGACACCCCCTTAGTGCAGAGAGAAGCCAACCCTGGCTGCACGGCAGGAGGGCCTTCTGGAAGGACAACACTATCCCCGGAAACCGGAAGGGGTGTGTCTAGTGTATGTTTCTCTTTTCAGTATTATCCTAAACGTTGGCCAACCACTGCAGTCAGAGGGAAGTGCCTGTTTCTATAATTGGGGCGAATCCTGGCAGAGTAGATTCTAGAACTGTGCTTTCTAATACAAAGAGCTACAGAGCACTTAGAATGCAGCCAGTACATCAGACTTATTAGCGAAAAGAATGAAAGCCGTCTCATGAATACAAAGTTTTGACTCTGTGTTGAAATGGTAATATGTATTGGGTTGAGTTATAATCTACTCCACGACAGTCAGGCTTCTTCTTTTCGCTGATTGGGTTACATAGAAATAGCATGACCCTCCTATGAAATAGGTGCTTGAGCTCCGAGAAGGAAGCCTGGCAGAGTGGCGTTTGCAGGGCTCGGCTAGCAATGTCTGAAGGCACCAGCTCTGGCAGTAGCCGAGGGCAGCAGGTGTTCTGAGACTGCGGCCTGGGCACCGTGGGGCAGCGCTCCTCTCTCCTGTAAGGTTGCTGTGGCGCAGAGTCCTCTCAGCGGCCAGGGGGTCCCCTAACTTTCTGTCTGTGTGTCGCAGTTATTTCTGTTGGCATCGTCTCCCAGAGAGCATTGGGGTCGTTTTTTGTGATGGAAGTCTTTCTTATCTTTCGGATTCCACACCCATGACCTTTCCACAGCATGGCGCGGCCTCGATGAGAAAGCGAGATAAAACTGATCAACTTGCTCCTGAGGTCCACGTTCTTAAATAATGCATACGACTACCGTCCACAGAAGGGTGTGTGTGTGTGTAGAAGTGGTGGGCATAAAAATAAATTAATTTTAAAAGGAAGGGGGGGAAAACCAGAGAATTTTCAAGAAAAATATGTGGAGAGAAGCAGTCCTAACCGGTTACAGCCTCCGAGTGTCTGTGCCGTAACTAGACTTTCTGGTTTAGTTAACAAAATGAATGCCACCTTTAAAAAAAATAAACATTAAAAACATGGTTACTAGAAAACTTGAAATGACCTCTGTGGCGCACATTCTATTTCTACAGGAAGGTTCTATTCTGGATGTCACAGGGGGCCCCGTCGCCACCACCCTGAGGTGCTTGATTTCAAAGCACCCCAGCACCCCATGGGAGCCTCAGAAACAAGTGGCTCAGGAAAATCCTTAAACACTGGCCTTGCTGTGGCTTGGAGCACACTCAGTAGTGTTATTTCCCCCCCACAGACTTGTCCATTGTTTGGCTGAAAATAGAGTCACAGGGGTGGGTCCGTTCCAGAGTTGAAGAGTGACCAAGGACGATAATCGTGTGGTGATGGGTTAGACTCAGGGACTCATTGCTTCCAAGTGTGTTCAGTCTTCACCACTCTCCGTTCCTCTGGACAGGGAGAGACCTTGGATGTCTGCTCATGAGCTTTGAAGACCCCAGTCTCTACTCACCAAAGAGGGATGTAGGCTTTGCGGACTGTTAAGCTATTTGACTGTTGTGTTTCTTGCAGCGATGGCCCTGAGACCCGACCCAGCGATTTCCTCCCTCAAGGTGTTTGGTTCTATTTAGGAAGTTTCCATAACTGTGCGTCACGGGCTCCATCACACCCAAGGACATATTTGCAGCAAAGGTAAGTACCCTATATAAATGCCCTGTCAACCCTGTAGTCACGTATATTTGTAGTTACACCCTCAGCCCCGCTCCCAGACCCATTCAGCCTGCATGGCCATCCACACATCTGTTCATGTTGTTCTTGTGAGTGTAGGTGCTGCCCAGTTAATGCTGACTCAAAGTGACCCAATGGACAGTACAACACACCACTGTCCAGTCTTGCGCCACAAGTGGTATCCTGGAGCCCATCCTTGCAGCCAGTGTGTCAATCCATCCTGCAAAGGATCTGCCTTGGCTCCAATGACTAAGCCTGACATCCCTTCCTGGGGACTGGCTGCAGGTGGTCGTCCACGCAGGGCTGCGTGCCCCAGGATTCCATCTGCCCCCGAGGCCCTTTCTTAACAAATCAATTGCTCCAGAGCCCTCATCTCAGGGGCAGCTTTGCAGGGAACTCCATCAGAGAAACACAGGCTGTACCGTACCGTGGACAGTGGCTTTGACCTTGGGTGCGAGTCATGTGATAAAACCAACCCCCCAAATGAAACCAGTGGCCGTGGGGTCCCTTCTGATCCCCTGTGCTGCAGATAAACTGTGCTCCGCGGTGCTCCCACTGGCTGCTGCCTTTGCGAAGTCGCTCTCTAGGTTTTCTTCCCAAGGCAGATGGGTGGGATCCAACCACCACTCTTTCTATTAGTAGCTAACTACAGGTCCCCCTGTGCCACGCAATACATTTATGTGCCGTGTGTGTGTGTGTGTGTGTGTGTGTGTGTGTGTGTGTGCAGGGGGATTTGAAACATTGGAGATCGCTTTGCTGAGAGTCCTGATCCCGAGTCTAGAACAGGAGGGGCTGCGGAAGAGACCCCAGGGTGGGTGTGGTCTACAAAGCAGCAAAAAACTTCACACAGACAGCTGCCTGCTTCCCCTTCGACGGTTTACTTTATTGCTGTTTAACCAGAGACTCTTCCCCAAACAGGTTTCGACTTCCCTCATGGGCTCTTTCCAGAAACTTGTAACCGTTCCTGCTTCTTGCCATCATCACGACCCCCCTGCCCTCTTACATCAAATATTTCAAAACAGAGATCGAAACAGGAACTTGGCTGCGTGGTGCAACACAGAAGTGTGTGCTACAGCCTCTGTTCATAGTAAGTGGGGGTGGGGGAAGAGCGGTGATTCGAGGGGGAAGGGTCACACGGAGGTCGTCACACTGGGTGGGCTCGTGAGCTAGAAGCAGGCAGGCGTCTGAGTCCCAGGGGCTTCAGAAACACCAGAAAATTAGTGGCTTATCAATAAGGCCAGGAGAGCTTAAAAAAATCTCGAGACACATGGTTTCTACACGGGAGGCACTCGGTTCCCTTGAAGGTAACTGGAAAGAAACACACCCACACGGACCAAAGTCACACACACACCAAACTCAATCTCCAGGACCCCCTGGCTGCCCACTGCTGCGGCGCACAGGGACCCTGGACAGAGGAGAGGGCGGCTGCCCCCTGGGGCTTCCAAGGCGGTCCTTCTCACAGGAGCAGCTTCCTCCCAGGGAGTGGCTGCCAGGTTCCCACCTCCCACGTGAGGGCAGGATCTCTGTGCCACCCGGCTTCCTGCACCCCAGAGGCACACCCACCAATAGGCACCTGGTGTCTCCAGCCCCGGGGCTGGAGAGAGCTGGGAGTCTGGCCCAAAAGGGAGGGCCATGGACCCCACAGAGAGGACACAGCTTTTGAGCTTTGGGGACCTGTCAGCTGGTGCTGACCCAGTAGGGTCATTGAGAAGGGTCACGTTGGGCCCTGGGCATCTTCCGAACAGAGTGGCTGGCATTCCTAAAGCACAGGTGTCACGGACGTCGCGAATGCTGCCCATGAGGAAGCGGGCAGGTCAAGTGGGGGCAGGGGCGGGGCCTGGTCGCTCACACTTCGTCCCCAGAGCCCCACACCGTGCCTGACACTTAGTGGGCACGCACTGAGTATCTGTTGAATGACTGAATGAGAGAATCCACAAGGGAAAGCTTCCATCTTTCCCAAATACAAATTTGGAACTTTCTCATTGGCAGCAAATTGGTTCTTTTTTAACCTTCGAAGTGTAATTATGACTCACGTATGCTCCTGCCATCTACTGGCCCTGAGGGGACCTTTTAAAAGTTGACAGTCTTTACGGTTGGGGTCAGGGCACAGATCTGGCTATGGCCCAACGATGAGGTCTTCCACAAATGTGCTGGTGAATTTCCATGAGCGAACCCATCTCTAAGGCCAGCAGCTAGCCCCCAATAGACTGTTCAGGCCATAGGGCCTCGGCCAGGGTCCCTGTGTGTTGGGTCTGGTGCCTGGAAGAGGGCAGCCCATCTTTTATGCCCTGCCTAGGGGAAGACCTGAGCCTGGCAGGTGGTGCAGATGGCTCTGGCTGACCCCAGGACATGCATAAGCACTAAACTCTTGGGCCACAAGGGTGCTGGTCTGGAGCGAGCCGGTGTGCACGAGAAAGACGGGGCATAGAGCTGTGTCTCTCTGATGGAGAAGGCTGGCTCTGATGACGTCTGTTTTCAGGCAACATTCTAAGCGAAGTTATTGGACCCTCAGGGAGTGGGGAGGGCTAGCCAACCGTGTCTACACTACAGAGAGAAGGTCCGGGGGCGCTGGAGAGAGGCTGGTGAGGAATGAATGATTGGGGCAGCCACCTGAAAACCTGGAGGGAGGTGACTTTGAAATGATGATGGCAGCTCAAGGCACACCTGGGTGTCCCAGGTGCTCTACCTTGAACTTCAGGGCCAGAAGAAGCGGCAAGCCCAGACCTCCTGTCCATCCCCTTGTTCAGTTTTGGACCAGGCACTAAGGATTCTTGGGGGTGGGGGTGGGAAGTGGATGGGGTCCATGATTTCGAATTTTGTTTTTCCTATCAGGGCTGTGCAGACACTGGCCAGCAACCCAGTTCCTTTCAGGAAGGACAGAGTTGTGGCTCACTGTGGGGGGTGGGCATCATGGTTGGTAAGGCCTGTAGCCCCCAATCCCACATTCCTTCCTGAAGGTCTTCCCTCTGGGGCAGTCCAGCCCCTGCTGGGCTGGCGGAGGCTCTGGGGAGGGGCAGGAGGGATCTGGAGGGTGTGGGGAGGAGGAGAGCACCCACAGCCCCTGCAGGTCAGGGGACCGAGTGCCACCACTTGAAGGTGAAGGGCTTCCGGTGGACGTTGGTGCCGCAGTGGACCTCCCCCAGAAACTTGTGGTAGGCGGAAATGTCGTCGATGAAGGTGCAGTAGAAGCCCAGAGGCTCTAGCAGGGCTCGGATGTGCGTCTCCAGGCAGCACACTTCCTCCACCTGCGGGCCAAACGGCTTGGGGATGCCCAGGTCCTTGTGGAGCACGATCATGTTCACCTGTGACAGTGCGGGGAGTGGGAGGGGGTGGTGTGGACAGTGGAGTGAGCGCCTACTGCTCCCCTGGAATTCTCCAGGCCCACTGAACTCTCTCAACAACCCCCCGAAGCAGGTCCTACCGTTACCCACCCTCTACAGAGGAGCAAACGGAGGCACAGAGCAAGTAGCTAAGGCAAATGGCAGCAAATGACAGCAATCTGTCTCTGAGGAGATGTGCGTATGCAAAGGTGTACCCGTGCATGGTATGTGTACATGTGTCTTACAGGTACCCGCACACGGCCACCTGTGGCCAGTACAGCGGTTCTCAACCTGTGGGTCGCAACCCTTTGGGGGGTCAAATGACCCTTTCACAGGGGTCACCCGATTCATCACAGTAGCAAAATGACAGTGATGAAGTAGCAACGAAAATAATTTTATGGTTGGGGGTAGGGGGTGTTTCACCACCACATGAGGAACTGTATGAAAGGGTTGCGGCATGAGGAAGGTTGAGTGCCACTGTTGTAGGTGCAGGCATGTGTGCGTTTGTGTGTGCACATGTGTGTGCACGTGTGCCTATCTGTGTATATGCTGCCACTCGTGGTCACCATCCGCTCGGCTCCAGTGACACGAACAGAACATGTGCCACCACCGTCGGCCAGCTCGTCTGTCACACTGGGCTGGCTCGCATGCTGTGTGATGCTGGCAGCCAGGCCACCGGCACTTTGCAGAGCAGCGGGCTCCCCCCACTCGGCAGAGCAGCGGGCTCCCCCCACTCCCCCTACACTTTAGTGGAGCTTCCGCATGAAGACGGACCGAGAAGAAGGGCCTGGAGATGTCCCCCTAAAAACTCACTCACCCCCAAACGAACACCAGACCGAGCTGGCAGTCACTCTCACTCACTGCCATCAAGGTGATGCCAACTCCTGGTGCCCCTGTAGGCCAGGGTCGAACTGTGCCCGTGCGGGTGACTGAGGCTGTCGAGCTCCACAGGAGCAGAAAGCCTTAGCTCTCTCCCGCGGGCTGGCCCGTGGGTTCCACATGCTGGCCTTGTGATGGGCATCTCGCTGCATGACCCCTGTACAGAGGCCCCCCCTGCCAAATTCTTCAATGAAAACGTTGTGGATATGTATATGCAAATGTGTGTGTGTATCTGACTACAGTTGAAGGGGCTTTATTTTTTTTGGTGGAAAGTTCCAGCATCTTTTCATTCCATTTCTTGGACAAAGCCTCCTCCCAGGGTCCGTCTGGGTGTATGCACTGACACCGCGCAGCGACCACCGGCTCAGACGTCACGACCGTGAGGGTGGCACAGCACTCGGCTGGCTCTCCTGGTTTACGAGCGTCGCCACACGCTGGAGGCGACTGGGCGGCACTTAGATGATCTGATTGTACATACCTTTGGGTGTAGGTGTGAGCATGTGTGTATATCTCTGTCTTCGTATGTGGATGGACGTGTCTTTGTGTGTACCTCGTTACCTCGTTCTAACCTCTTTCGAGAGCATGGAGGACTCATCTGTCTCCATGAGAACTGGCTTCCCAGCTGTGCAAAAAAGACTTTTTGCTTGAGCAAACCTCTCCCCTCTCTGCGAAGTCAAAGGGCACCCCAGTCCCCCAGTGAGGAGTATGGTCAGTCTCTCACTCCCTGGAGGGGCTAGAGACCCCAAGAGGGGAAGTGCTTAGAGTGGGACGAGGCCACACCACAGCTCAGCCAAGACTGGGCCCCTCCGCCCCTTCTGGATCCGGTCGCCCCTGTTTGGTCTGGGGTGAGCTCACCATGTTGGGGAAGTAGGCTCTGGCCTGGCGGTTCTCGTCCATCTTGAATAATGCGGGCAGGTCAATGATGTCCTGCTCTGTCAGTCCCAGCTCGCTCTTGAGGATGTCTCGGTTCCAGTCCAGGCAGCGCTGGGCAGGGAGACGGAGGGAGGACAGGCGGGTGAGGGGCCAGCCTCAGATCTAACTGATACCGAGACGTGACCACTGAGGGGGCAGTCTTAACACATTTAACTTTCCGATAGCCAGAGCCCGGAAGTGTAGAGAGGTGGAGTTGAAGCTCTGATGAACCTGGGCTTCACTGACGCCCACCCACTGCGAGACTTGGCCTTGATACGAGTCGGTCATGTCTGCTTGTCTAACCTGCTCTCTGTGAACCGAGGTGGTACTTGCACCCAGTGCCCCCACCTCCCTGCACGGCAGCAGCCTGTTATTAGCTTGGACTGACTCTGCCCTCGCCTCCGAGTCAAAGGCGGTCAGTGGACTTTCACCCTTATCTCTTTGCTCTGGTGACTGATTCAGGGATGGACAGGGATGCACGATTAAGCCAGTCAGTATACGGAATTTTCCTGGCCACAGGGATTGAAAGCCAGGCTTGCGTGCAAGTGATCAACTTGTGGGGTGTTGCTGGGTGAATGTGATCCTTGGAACTGTCCCAGCCACGTGCCTACCACGAGGGAACCGTAGAGCCCAAGAAGTGCAGATAAATGGCATTGGTCCCCTGATCAGCCTGTGCCTGAATGCCACACCACTGCTGGGCTTTCCACTTACAGGAGCCAATGATGCCTCCTCTATTTGTTTAAAATAGTTTGATTTGAGTTTTATGCATATATATATATAATTTAAAAATACTTGGTCCTTTAAAATGCATCAACGTAAATAAAAGGATAGTTAATTCAATAAAAACAGCCCTCTTGACTAGTGTCTATGCCTGGACACAGCCTTTAGGACTTAGGGACTCTGAAAGTGGGGTCGATGCACATAGCACTTCAGGGGTCTGTGATGTCTGTGACTCCCGACAATGATTCGAACTTTTGGGCTCATTTATTCATCTTTCTGTCCCTTTCACCGAAAGGAGTGCGCCTCCCCTGAATGTTAGGGGTGCTCACCGAAAGGAGTGCGCCTCCCCTGAATGATAGGGGTGCTCACCGAAAGGAGTGCGCCTCCCCTGAATGTTAGGGGTGCTCACCGAAAGGAGTGCGCCTCCCCTGAATGATAGGGGTGCTCACCGAAAGGCGTGCGCCTCCCCTGAATGTTAGGGGGGCTCACCAAAAGGAGTGCGCCTCCCCTGAATGATAGGAGTGCTCACCGAAAGGAGTACGCCTACCCTGAAGGTTAGGGCACCTGGTTTTCTGCATGTCCTGCCAGCTGCTACCCTCTGCTGACCTGCCCCTTCCCCCTCGCCAGCTTCTGCCAAGAGGGGATGGAGGAAGCTGGGCCCAAGGCTTGATGAGGCCCCTCCCTCAGCCCATTCTCATGGAACCCTGAGGCTGTGGGGGTGCCAACGGACACAGCCCGGTCCTTCCCAGTGGCTCTGTCGGCTCTGTCGGAGAGCTGGGCCCGCTCTCACCTGGAAGTACTGATTCTCCTGCACCAGAGCCTCGTTGGACAGAATCTTGTTGATGGTGATTCGCTTGCTGCTCATCCCGCCCAGGCCTGTGGGGACAGGGGGCAGGGGCCAGCAGTGGCATCACTAGGGAGGTGAAGGGTGTGGCCTGCACTCTGACATGGAGGGAACACCAAAATGACCACTGGCTCCCTGCAGCAGTCGGGGGTCAGTGTCACAGAGGGAGGGGGCTGCCAGGGATGTGGTGTGGCTGGTGGGCGGAGGTGGAGGTCAAGTGGGGCCAGGCAGCATGTCAATGGCCGGACACCAACAATGTGTGTGTGTGTGTGTGTGTGTGTGTCCCCGTCCAGCTCTAGTGGATGGCTCAGGCCCCAGGAGCCCTGGCTGGGTGGGACCTTCTGCCAAGACACTGGGCTAGCTGCTGGACTGAGGGCTGGGGGCTGGGGTAGGGGAGTGGTGCTGAGGACAGGCTGGGGCACAGAAGGGTGACTGCAGGGGGCATCAGCCTTGTCCCCCACTCCTGTCCCTCTCCCATCTGCCCCTCCCCCCGCCCCCCAGTAGCATGCACTCAGCCATGTCTCAGAAGCCAGGGAGGGATGGGGAGCTGCCTTCACTCTCTGGCCAGTGGTTGGGTGCACACAGCCCCCAAATCTCCCGCTGGACCCCAGTTACAGGAATGAGCAGGTGTGGCCCAGCAAGTGTGGCCGGAGCAGAAGCCCCACCTCATGCCCAGCCCGTCCTGGGCTGGCCTGCCTCTGTCTCCGCCTCCTCCCCACGGAGAGCTCATGCAGCTTGGGGCCTTTGGAGCGACACCTGCTAGGTGGCAAGCACACTTCTAAATGCTCTGCTCGGATTAGCTCCGTGAGCTCCCCCACCATCCTGGGAGGTTGCCATCACCCGGAAGAGGACAAAGCTGAGGCACAGGGAGGTTGAGGGGATCTTCCAAGGTGCGGGACACAGCCAGCAAGCGGCTGAGTGGTGAGCAGACCCAGCAGCCTGGCCCAGCTTATGCGCAGGCCCAATGTTGTTGGTTTGTTCACTCCGTCTGGGTCCTTTATACCTCCCAGGTTTGTCAGGAGCAAAGAGATTGTCACGGAGCTGTCGGACCCCGCACCCAAGCGAGCTGCCTGCATGTCCCCTCTCTCCAGAAACTCAGCCCCATCTGTTCAGGGATAATGGTCCCTACATCCTGTGGGGATCTGTCTGGAGTCCCTGGGTGGTGCCAACAGCTTACTGCATCCAGCTACTGACTAACTGGAAGGGTCTAGTCTATGTAGAGGTGCTGTGGAAGAAAGGCCTGGGGATCAAGTTCCCCAAAGTCAGCCATTAAAACCCCTCTGGGGCACGATTCTCCCTGGGACCCCTGGGGTCACCATGAGTCAGAGACAACCCAACACCAACTGGTTCGAGTGTCACGGTAGGTGTGTGCTGAACTCTCTGGAAAAGAAGCCTTCAGAGAACCAGCAACGGTGGCTGCCGGCCCAGGGAGAAATCCCCGCTGGCGGAGAATTTGAAAAGGCCGATGGTCTTCAGTGGGTCTTCCCTGGCTAGCCTCCACGCCCTGTCAGGGACACGGTCTTTGGCCTGGGGCTGGCGGGGGAGCACTGAGGGATTCTGGGATTCCAACCTGAACACTGGGGTGCCTACTTTCAGAGACTAGCTGAGGATTGCCTCGGGCCCTGGAGCCTGGCACACTCTTCACCCGTCAACGGTCTTTTCCCAGGAGGCAGTCACGAGCCAGCCTCACCTGGGCCTGCCTCCGCCCAGTGACAAGGGTGTCTGAACCCAGCAGGCTGATCCCCCTCGGGGCTGACAGAGGTGTCTGGGTGCCCATCAGCCTGGGAGCTCACTTTTCTTCCTGGGGTGGACCCACCTTCTCTAGGCTTTTCTTATCTCCCTCTGTCTGAGTTCTTTGAGTCAAGATAACAGGTCCCTTTAGAGCCATGTAACTCTTCTCTGGGCCTGGGGTCTGTTGCTAGGGGTTGTTGAGTTGATTCCGACCCAGGGTGTCCCCACGTGACCAAGAGGACTGTCCTGTAGGATTTGCTTGGTGCTGTTGATGACGGGAAGGCCTGGTGGTCAAGCTTCCTCCCCCCGCACCATCATGACCCCAGTCCTGCCTTTCACTGTGGACTAGACCAGGGTATGTGCACAGGTACTGATAAGACATCCAGGAACAGGAATGGAGTAGCCAGACCAGGAAGGCAGGGGGGAGGTGGGAAGAAGAGAGGAGGAAGGGGGAACCGATTGTGATGATCGACACATAACTGCACCCCCGCCCCCTCCAGGGGATGAACAACAGAAACCGTGGGGGAAGGGAGACAGCAGTCGGTGTAAGATATGAAAATAATTTATAATTTATCTAGGGGCCATGAGCATGGGTGGGGCAAGGGAGGGGGGGGAAAGAGGAGCTGACACCAAGGGCTCAATAGAAAATGTCTAGAAAATAACGGTGGCAACATATGTACAAATAAGCGTGATACATTGATGCATGGATTGTTATAAGGGCTGTAAGAGCCCCCAATAAAATGTTAAAAAAAAAGAAGCCACGGTGGGCATGGTTCATCTGATCCTTCTCGGCAAGGGGTATGCGTCGGCAGGGCAGCTTTCCACCCTGGC